GGATCTGATTGCCGCGCATGGGACGCGCCTCCTCCGGCGTTGCTACTAAGGCGTGTAGCAGGCGCGTTTTCCAGCAGTCTTCTACAGGCGCGCCGCAGGCGCGTCCTTAGGCGCGTTTTGAGAGGCGCGCATTAGGCGCGCATTGCAAGCGCGGACGATCGGGATCAGGACTTGGCCGCTGACCGCAGGGAGCACGCAGACGATAAAGGACAAAACTTCACAAAACGTTGTCTTGAGGCTATAAGGTGGGTTCTCCGGCGCCGCGCCTCCAGCGCGTTTCCCAGGCGCACTTGCCAGGACCAGGACGAGCGGAACAAGTATAAGGGAAAGCGAGCGAGGCGCGTCGCCAGCGCCCCACCAGGCGCGTCATAACGCAGGCGCTTGCTTGGCCGCGCCCGCCAGGACCAGCAGCGTAACTCCGCGGACAAGGACACTTATAATGCAGGCACTGCGCCCGCCAGGACCAGCAGCGTAACTCCGCGGACAAGGACGCTTGAAAAGGGGGCAAGAACTATGTAGGGGCCCTGGGCGCGTCCTCGGGCGCACTTTTCCCAACGCGCGTTTGTAGGCTGCGTGTCTGTAGGCTTGCTTTCAATAGCGCAAGGACGCGGACAAGGACAACGGAAAGGGAGACCACCACGTTGTGAGGCACGTTTGCGAAGCGCGTCCTCAGGCGCACTGGCAGGACAAGGGTACAACGACGTGGATAGTATCGGAAAGGGAAAGGCGCGCTTTTAGGCAGCTCGACTGATTGCATTCTTGGAACGGGCTTCAACTTCTATAAACGCATTGTAGACAGGTCGTTTCGAGCACCTCTATGTGGATCAGCGTGTGTCCAATCACCTGCTGTGACAAAGCTGATGACAGGTTATTCAATGAGGATGCCTTCCATGCCACAGCGTTTGCAACCGTCACGATAAGTATAAAGATTTACCTTCCAATAAATAAGTATACCGTTTGCACAGCGTTATCCGTTTGCACAGCGTTCAAAGAGGATACCTTCCAGTAAGTACACAACGCCACAGTCACGATCTTGCACTGTGGTGTTCATTTTAAGTGGTGCGGTGTATTCTGCCGGATCGTGCTGGGGTGCGCTGCATTGACGTGGCTTTTGCTAATGCCGGATTGTCCTCGCCTCAGATGTGAGTGTGCGTGGCTGTGGCGTGGCTGTTCCGGTGCAGCGATGTGTGGTGAGACGCGTAAACGCCCGAGAGCATTTCAATTTGGGTTAGAAGCCGCTAGGCGTCCTAAAGTTCAAGCTTTGACACATCCATAACTTGGAGCTTAGCAAGTTCTTTTGTCAACATGGACAGGTTTGGGTGGTGTTCTTGTCCTTTGTCAACGCCCTTGTCCACGTTCTTATAGTTAGTCACTTAGCCATCCTATACACATATTGTTGCTTGTTATCGGCACCAAAAAACACAATCACAAGCATTGAAGACACCCAAAGCGTTCCGCACGCTGATGTATCGTGCAAAACGAAAGTAAATGCCGGAAGGCTCGGCAATGTGGACTGGAAGCTGTGTGTTTACTACTATAACGGGCACATGCCATTTTATGACTTCGTACTCTTCGTGTGCTTGATGCCATATAGTGCTGCTTTGCCGCAGCAAGTTTGTCAGCGTCACTGTAAGTGCTGCTTCACCTTCCATGCCACAGCGTTTGACGGAAGAGGAGACCTTCAAGGTCATCCGCGAGTCAATAATAGTGTACGCTGTAAATATCGCGAATGAGCCGGATGCCGCTGACGAGATGTTGACGCAATTGGCCGACGACTTGGGCAAGATGATCACCGACGAGCTGCTGAAGGCATGCAAAGGCGAACCCGGCGCCAAGAGAAAGAAGAGTGGCCGAAGCGGCTGGGCAGTGTGGCGGGAGAAGAAGAAGGTGGCGAAGCAAGACAAGCAGGTGGCAAAGCAGTGAAGCTTGGACTCAAGGAAAATGGACATGAATGTGTGACCTGCTCTCTCCAGAGTTCTTTGTCTTGGCAACGGGTTTGCGTGCCTTGCCCAACTCATCTGTACTCATCTTACCCCAGTCATCGGCCAAATGCATCAAGATCTCGTCTGCGGCGTCCGGTTCGGTCGCGATATTTACCAAAGACGACCCGCGGATGACGTGGAAGGTCTCCTCTTCCGTGAAGTGCTGTGTGCATGGAGGGTGAAACGGCGCTACTTGCTTTTTTGCAGGGTGAAACAACACAGTCGGGTGGTAGCTTGGACACGTTTCAACCTAAGCCAGGAAGGGCCCACGCTGAACTTTTGTTGGGCGCGTTCTTGGAACCGGTCAGCCTCGCAAAATAAGGATGGGGGCAGCTTGCCTTGAAGTGTGTGCCGCTGGGCTCCCAGTCGTGCCGACTTTCCAGGAGAGAAGACAGTGTATTGCAGATATTTCCTCTTTTATGCGTCTGCTGTGCTTCTCGAGTACGTTCAAAGCCATCTCGCCTATTGTGTCTGAAGGCACAGGCTATACTCCATTTCCCGCGGGCTACTCCTTTTTTTCGCTGCTCGGCTGCAGCAACTGAACCTCGAAGCGGGCGGCCGCGAATGGGCCCCCGTGCAGCTTGGATAGAAGTCCGCACAAGGGACCATGAATTGCTTGCCACTCGTACTTCCAAGCGTCACACCTTTTCCATACCGTTAATGTGCCCAAGGAAACCAACCTGTGGAGCCTGAGAGACGATATGGTCTGAGAGGAACCGAAAGTAAAGGCAAGCGAACGCCCCCCAGAAAAAGAATTTGTGTGGGCAACGAATTTGTGTTCAAAGTAACTTGCTTGGATCTGCTTTATAAGACTACATTTCACGCTCACGCACGCATCAGCCGGCTTTATGCAACGTCGAAAGGCAAGGGAGCCTCGGCCACACTACATGCAACTGCCACCCTCCCTCTTCCGCAACCTCCGGCAAAGCAGCAGCCCAGCCACAGCCAATGAACCTAGAAGCTGGACCGCTCGGCTCAATGAGCTCATGGGCCCTCACAGTCCAAAGCAGATGCACAAATTGTGGGCTTACAGTCGTGCGGGCAAGCGCTTACAGTTCGTTAAAACCCAGAAATTTGTTGCCCACAGCGAGTTCTAATCCTGTAGGGTACTACCTTGTCTGATGTTCGGCTTCAATCCAAGCCACGAAGGGCCCCCTCCTTCTTCGAGCCAGCTTTGAGGTTCGTTGCTTGCGGCTGAACAGCTGCTTTGTTGGAGGCATTGCGGTGGATAAAGGGGTTGCAGTTGGAGTGCTGAGACTCCGATGTGTCGGAGGCCTTGATAAAGCAGGCTGATGCATAGGAGAGCATCTAATGGTCTAAATGAGGTCCAAGGAAGTTCTGATTGAACACAAATTTGTTGCCCGCACCACAATCCTTTATCTGCAGGGTGTTGGCTTGCTTTACTTTCGGTTCCTGTCAGATTAAACCCCCTCTCTATATACAGCAATCCAAAGATTGGGCCTTTGCAGGGATCTTCTGTTTCAAGGGTGCAATGTTTCGTATATGGATTGACGTTGAATGTATATATGAAAGCAGGACTTCAATCCATAAAGCGTCAATATATGGGCAGCGCCTGGTGCACCAAAGCTTCCCGAACGCCCCCGAATAAAAAAGTGCGCTGACGCGGCAAGTGGCACACCCCCTTTCTGCTGCAACCTCCAAATCAGCTGCTCAGCTGCAGCAAATGAACCTCCAAACGGGTCCACTCGGATCAAAAGAATGCATAGGCCCTTCGTGGCTTGGAGTGAGGTTCGCCAGAGCAAGGACATTGCTGTCCATCGTTGTATACGTCAAGCCATATACGAAACATCGCCCCCTACAAACAGAAGATCCCTGCTTGCAAGGACCCAGTCGTTGGAGTGCTCTACATACAGCCGATTTGATATGAGAGGAACCGAAAGTAAAGCTAGCCAACACCCTACAGATAAAGGATTGTGTGGGCAACAATCTGTGTCCAAAGAGATTTTTTTTAGGCCTGATTTGGACCACTAAACGCTCGCTTTATCAAGGCCTCAGACACATATAACAACGTAAACAAAACATCTCAAGGCCTGGAGCCACTTCCCCCTACCGCAATGCTTCCAGAAATGCAGCTGCTCAGCCGCAGCCAATGAACTTCAAAGAAGGCGTGACCCCTTCGTGGCTTGGATTGAAGCCGAACATCAAACAAGGTAACGCCCTACAGCGAGATCTCGCTGAGAGCCACAAATTTCTGTGGTTCAAAGAACTTGCTTGCATCTGCTTTGGACTATTTCATACACCCCTTTTGTTTTTTCTTTGCATCTTTTGTGCTTCTGGAGTATGTCAAAAACATATACTGTATACTGTACTCGCCTATTGTGTCTGAAGGCACGGCCTACTCCAGCTGCCACCCTTCCTACTGCCAAAGCCGTGACAAGCAGCTAGCTGCTCAGCATGCCAAAGCTCTGACAAAAGCAGCTGCTCAGCCGCTGCAAGCCTGCTCATGCGCGTGTGTCTGTGATGAGTCGTTCTCAAGCCACAATAGGAAATAATTATGAGAGTTGAAAGGCAGCTAGTGAACATATTTATAAATATATATATGTATGGGAGCAGACACAGACGCATATATAGGAGAGACTCCGTTTCCAAACATTTAAGAAGAGCTTGTGAACAAGTGAGCTTGTGAACAAGTCCCAACTGAAGGCGGTTTCCGCCGCCCACACATGTCCACCTCGAAGTTTCTTTTTTGCCCAAATGGGAGGCCGAGCACCTTGCAAAGCGGTGGGACGTTGTGGCCGCGCTAAGTTCTCAATACCCTCCCCGCCTTGTGCAAGGCGCGGGGGGTAATTTCAATGTCAGCGTGCAAGACAAATACTCTCGAGAGTTTAGTTGAAGTTCTAGCTTGTATTTGCTCAGTGGTTCTTCATTGCAAATACCCCCTCCGCCTTGCGCAAGGCGGGGGGGGGTAATCGCGCATGCGCAGAACATTGGAAATACACTTGCGTTGGCCAGGTTTTGGCTCCACTCACGTTTTGTCTTCGGCTCTCTTGCTTTGTCATGGCTCCGCCAAAGGCGGCAGCCAAGCGCAAACCAGCCGACAAGCGCGGGCTGGACAATGTCGAGGAGAGCCCTGGCAAGAAACAAAAGCCAGATGTGGTGCCCACCGCCAAGGCGGCCTCGTCTCCAGCGAAGGCTTCTACGACATCTCTCAAAGCTCCCACCATCCCATCTTTGGAGGGTTCTGCAGCCATGGGTGCTCACTCGCTGATGAAAGAAGTCGTTCCATGGGCTACTGGACTACTACAAGCAGTTTGGTTTTGTAGTGGGAAAGCCCCTAGCTATGATGTATGCTGTATGGAGTCTTTTATTTTCTTCTCAAGCTCATTTCTAGAGCCTATAGCACTTAAGTTGTTGTGCCTGGTTGGCTGGGTCCCTTCTAGCAGACATAGTTCCCCAAAGCCCGCTTCTTCCCATACCCTGCTACATTCCAGGTTTTGCAGGAGTTGCCAAAGAGCCTTGGGAGTAGCCTTGGGTGTGACGCCAAACATCCTTTGCGGGAGCTTGCGCCGTTGACCGTTCCAAGCAACCGCTCTGGTGGTGGCAAGCTGTCGAATTTCAAAGAGACTTGGAACTCTGAGAACTGCCGGTATGCTATCAAGAACTCGGAGCAGTACGAAGCTGGTGGATCACTGTACTGGCTGCAGCTCGGCTTCTGCTCGGATGGCGTGCTTCTGCTGGAAGAGCCTTCGGTGGAGGAGGTACTGCTGGCAATGGACGCTCTGATGCCGGCAGAAGCATCAAAGCTGTTTTTCCCAGATGCCTTTGCTACCTATGCTTCCGCGAGTGCAGTCACAGGAGACGGCTTTCCCTCAGGCCTGCAGCTGTTGCATCGCCACGTACAAGTGTTTGCGTGGTATACCGCCATGGCCAAAGCTCTTCAGTCCACTGACAGCAGTAGGGTCGAGAAGCTCCACGAGATGGCGTTGACGGCGACCATTCGGGTCCATGCAACTACAGAGGTGCTTCCCGTGAATGTTCTTTCTCTGAGGCTGTCAGAGAAGGCGAAGGTCGAAGACAAAGGTGACAGCTTTGTCCTGTTTGCAAAGAAGGTGTCGCTGATTCGCAGAGAGCACTCCTCGGCGCCCTTCGGTGAGTTTCTGCAGAAGTTGATTGATGAGGGCATCCGCTTCAATGGCAAGCTGGTCCACCGAACGTTGCTCCAGGCCGTTCAGTCTGTAGATTCCTTGCTTACGCCTTCTGCGGAGAAAGTCTTGGGGCAAACACAGCGAGAGTTTGGCCGATCAGTTTGGGCAGAGAGCTACACCAAGTTGGCCCGCGTTTCCCAATCGTGTGTGAAGTATTGCAGCCAGCCGAACAGCAAGCTTGTGGCCAGTGAACTCTTCAAGTTGACGCTCGAGACCTTCGTGATGCAGTTGCGCCGTGGGCTTGTGCCAGCTTCTTTCTTCACGCAGGAGGCCTTGGAGCCAAGGGGGATGCAGTCGGATGGCTGTCCGGCACCTTTTGCAAGCTGGCTTTGTGCCACCAGCTTTTGGACATGGCCCGGCTGTCGGTGAGCCCCTGCAGGCACTTCGAAAGACCAAAGGGCACACTTGACGGATGTCTTGGGCAAAATTGGCACGCCTACGCTCTATGAGCACGAAATTCCTCTGACAGAGACTACAGAGGCGGCTGCAGCGGATGGTGAAGAGTTGACGCAACACGAAGATGCTTTCGCAAAGTTGACCAGCGATCTGCCCAAGCCCTACCGCGCAGTCGCTGAGCTTGTGCAGGGCCTTTGGGAGGGAGACTATGAGAAGGAGATCAAGGAGCTCTTCGCTTCTGACCCGGACGCGCAGAACAGCATTTTGTCGGAGTCCCAGCAGACCAAGAGCAGCAAGCTGTCCAAAGGCTTCCGGGCTGCCGCAGCTGTTCCTCAGTCAGCCTCAGCAAGAGTGAAATATTTCAAGTTCGGAGTGGATCGAAGTTGTTTTCTCCATCCAACTTTTCTTCATGGAAGTGCTGGGGCCGAGTGTAGTTCTTTGATGTTTTATGTGTCCTTTAAAGTGTTCCACCAAACCTTGTCCATGTTCTCATGTCTTTTCTCTGGATGTTTCAAAGTTTAGTACGTTTCTTCCATGTGGCCGGAAAGCAGTGAGGCTTTGTCGCAGGAACATGTATCCTGCAACACTGCCGCTCCACCCGTGAGCCTGCGAGAGCTGGTCCGGAGAAACTCCTATGGAGACGAGGACCGTGAAGCCAGAGAAGTGGAACGCACCAACCTCTGGAAAGAGGCGCAGACTGCCCGCAAAAAGCACATCCAGTTTGGTATTTGGTCAAGCCGCACAGCTGACTCCTTGCAAACTCTCTTCAATCGGCAGACTTTTCTTTCGAGGGCCAGCTCAATGAGACCCACCGCGCCTTCGTGTTTTCTTGCGATTTGTGGTCAGAAGGCCCAGAGGCTTGGTCGAAGCAACAGGCCATTGATGCCCACGACAAGCTGGTTGAGGAGACTTGGAAGTTCTTGCACAGCCAGCAGCAGGAGAGTGATTTTGTGTTGCTCTTTGACGGGTGCATCCGTGGCAACCGCCCGGCGATCGAGAGCAGCAAGTGGCAGTGTCCTGGCGGCGGGGGCCTGTTAGACTTTTGTGCCGCGCGCACGGCAAGCCAGAAGAAGCCCAACGTTCGAGGCAGAAAGGTGTTTGGGGGAGCCCAAGCATTTGAAACATGTTTCGTGCGCTTGGCGGTGCCTCGAGTGCGGCTCTCAGTGAAGGACAGGGAAGACGACTACCTTGTTGAGAAGGAAGACAACTTGGGGACCAACGACCTCACCCTCGTGGGCATACCGCCCCTCAAGAGGGCCCCGCAGTTGCTGTTGAGCGAGAAGAAGTTTCTCGGTAGTCAATACTTAGAGAATTTTGTGCCTTGTAGTTTTTTCAAGCTTACAACAGACTGACACTCAACACTTGAATCTTTCCCTTCAACCCAATTGGCTGCAGGAAGATTTTTTCTGATGCGGCCGCGCCGGACACTTACAAGTCCTCATCGGTGCCGCTCTTCTGGGCAGAGTCCAAGGGAGATGAGTTCTGGTCCACAGTGATCAAGATGCTTGACCTTGGTTGCGTTGTCGACTGCACTCCCGGCAGTGGCACGCTAGCGCGCGTGTGCTTGGAGCAGGAGGTGACATATTTGGGGATCGTTCGGTCAGATGTGCACCAGTCATTCCTTTGCAATGTCCTTGACAGGCACTGCCTCCGGTGGTGCTGTACAACTCAGACCTCAGCGAGATGATTGAGGAACACTACGCAGATGTTTTGGCCGAGCTGAACCCGCCCGATGTCGAAGGAGAGAACGATGACGAAGGGGATTGAGCGCATTTTAGAACAACATTTTTCCAGAGCCAAAGCAGCCCTTGCTCGCCTCGCGCGGGCGCTGCTTTTCAGAGATGTGGAAACGTTAAGAGGATTTCCCATCCTTTTGCTTGGCAAAAGCTAGGCACCGCAGAGAAGAGAAAAGTTTTTTGTTTAAGCTGGACAGGTCCGTGAGTTTTGGGACGGTCTTCTTTTTTTAACCTGAAATTCTCATTGGTTTGCAACGGCTGCTTGCAGGCAGGGGGCCACCACCTGCTTGGAGGCAGGGGGCCACCACCACAGAGAGAGGGATCTAGTTTTGTTTTCTGTGAAAGCCATCACATCAAACCGCAGGTGCTAAAACAGTCAAATTAACCTGGGCGTTTGATCATGGCGGCGTTTGCTTTTGCAAAGGGGTGGGGCTCGCCCATGTTGAAAAAGGCGGAGTCAGCAAGACAGCGCTGGCTTGAAAATGAAGGCATGACCGCCAGCCCTTTTGCCGCTGGAAAGCTCGATGTTGGCACGGACTGTAGCGGTACAGACTCTCCGCTCTTTGCTTTGCAGGAGCTGAAGATCAGGCACCAGCATCAATACTCTTGTGACTCTGCAGCGCGTTGCCGAGAGTGGATTCGTGCCAGCCACGCCACCCAGTCTTGAAAGACATGTGTCGGCGAGATCACAGGACCCTTCCACCGGTCAGCCTTTACATTTGTGGTTTTCCTTGCCAGCCATGATCTTTGCTGAATTCCAATTCATTGTTCTGGAAAGATAAGCGGTCCAAGCCTTACCAGGCCGGGCAATCTAGGTATGTGTTTCCAGGTGTACAGAAGGTTCTTCAGTGTACAGAAGGTTCTTCATTGGAAACACATTTGCTTGCTTGCTTGCCTGCTTGCTCGCTCGCTCGCTCGCTTGCTCGCTTGCTCGCCTGCTCGCTTGCTCGCTCGCTCGCTGGCTGGCTGGCTGGCTGGCTTGCTTGCTTGCTTGCTTGCTTGCTTGCTATGGTCAAGCTATGGTTTTTTCTACGCAAAGTACTTATCCTTGCACTATATCCCTAAGCCCACTCTTATAAGAGTCTGTCCGAACCCAGGTGTGAAACTATAGGACACTTGCCGTTTTGGATGTATTGCAACGTTCCGTATCGTGGGAGGCCATGCTGGACACTGTGGCTGCTCAGCGACCTGGCCTAGCTATCCTGGAGAATGTTCTTGCCTTTTTTTCGGCTTCAAGGACAACCTCCAGCAGACCATGCAATCCAAGCTTCCTGGGTATTTCATTTTCTTAGTCCGCATTTGCCCGACGATGGTTGGGCATGCGGTTCGGCGGCCTCGAGTGTATTTTTTGCTGGCTAGAAGAGACATCTGCCTTGTGATGGATGACTCCAACCAACTGCGGCGCTTGCTGCTCCATGTCTTGCAGTCGTTGCACTGCCCTTTGAAGGCACCGTTGGCAGCAAGATTGCTAGGGGCAAAGGATCCGCGGGTGCAAGCTTTCCTTCACCGCCAGACCCGTCAGCGCAAGAGCACGCGCCGCGCGAAAGAAAATGCGGCATACCTGCACAGATTGACCAGTAGAGAGCACGAAGCTTTGAATTCTGTCAAGCATTCGGGTTTGGAGGATGACCTTGTGGCAGATGTGAGCCAGTCTGTGGGGCGTGTGCCTCATGCAAGGGGCGGCCTTTGTCCTACCCTGACACCAGGCTCTAAGTGCATGGTCTTGGCGGTGAAGCGTGCCATCATTCCTGAGGAGAAGCTCCTTCTTGGTGGCATTCCGCTGCGCAGACTCCAAGTCCCAAGTTCTTTGTCGCCTCAGCAAATCGCTTCCTTAGGTGGCAACTTGATGCACTGTGAGGCGATAGCTGCAGCCGTTTTGCTCGGGCTTTCCATCCTCCAAGTGGACAAACTGAGGCCGGGACCGCCACGTTTTCCAGCAGCAGGTCGTGCGAAGATGATTGAGGTAAACCAACTTCTTTCTGCCCAGAATTGCCCCACCAAGACCAACCGCCGGCGAAGAGTCGCGGCAAATCAGCCTTGTACAAAGCAAAAAGTGCCGGATGCAAAGTGCATCGCAGAGGTTTATTTGAGTTCTGAAGGCAGGAAACGGGTGGCGCAGCCACTTTTTTCGTTTTCTGGGAAGAAGGCGCGGAAGTGCCGCAGCATCGCAGATGTGTATAGTGCATGATTCTGTTTGTCGGGTGTTTCCTCCTAAGATGGCCGCCCCTCCCTTAGACTCTAAACCCTTTCTCTGGGACCTGGCGTGGTGCAAGATCACGTTTGGGTGTCCAGGGCTGGCAAAACAAAACGCGCGCCAGTGCACGCGGTGTTCAGAGGCAGAGTGTGAGTAGGAGCTTGTCACTTCTTTTTCTACGGCTGCTGGACCTTTGTGGTGTTTCCCATGTTTCTAGGCCTCTACAGTCTCAAAAAGCTTGTTCTGAGAATGGTTGCCCGCAGGAAAGTTTTGGGGGACAGCAGGGTTTGCGTCGACATCGGCGTCGAGTTTCGTGGAGTTGGAGCCCATCGTGCCAGGTTCTCACTGTTGATGAAGGCGCTTTTTCTTTGGGCGGCCCAGAGAGCCATTAGTTACTTTGAGGGAGGCTTGCGCAGGCTTCTTTCAGTGGCAGATTTGGCAGGCTTGTGTCCGTAAGTGGAAAGGTGCGCGATATTTTGAACCTTGATCTAGGTCAGCGCACAAACAGAGAGGAAAGACCCAGTCAGAACAAACGAGCTGTGGAGCTCGATGGTAGACTTTTTCCGAAGAAAGTTTTGGATGACCTTTTTTGGCTGCTTCTCCATTTTCCTGCCCGCCAGGTGCCAGCCAGCTCCGGCCAGCAGTGCACCAAGAGGCGCACACTGGCAAAAGCGTTGCTCTGCTGAGTGTCTCACTTCGCAGAAGCGTTGGAGCCGGAGCCGGTTCTTCATTTTGACTGCTCGTTTCCTCGGATGCTTTGTGCTGCCATCGTATCTCCGCAGGGGGCTCCATAAAGAACCAAAGCATGGGGAACGCGACGTATGAAAAGGGTTTGATAAAATGAGAGCTGTAAGGATGTTCGGTCCATAAGGTGCATGAACATGTATTACCCACATGGTCCCAAATCACAACTACAAGCACTCCCAACTTCTTCTCATGTGGTTCTAGGGGCATGGGGAAACGTAGCTTCTTTGCGCCTGGGGCTATCGCTGCTTGCTACGACACATCTTTTTCAGCTGCCGGGCCACCGTCCAAGAAGGGGAGAACAGAGCAGGGAGCCACTTCTTCCTTGAGCGCCGAGGCTGGCAAACCACGGAAGCCAGCCGCCATCACCAAGGCAAGGGGCACAAGAACCCCCATAGAGTCCCCAGCTGTCAGTGTTGCAAATGCTCAGGGGCAGTGTCGCTTGCCCAAATGTCATCCACGATTCAATAGTCAGTGTGCCCGGTGTATCTTTGGGAAGTTTGGGCCTTCATGGCGACCCAAGCATGGCTGCCTGTTGCATAAAGGCAAAGGCACGGCTATGCGGACAGTTTGGCTCCAAGAGCGGCCACGGACACTGCCAGGTCCATGGGGTCTGGGTTGTGCTATTTGCGCGCAGCTGCAGCATGTGCCATTGGCCGGAGAAGGGTGCCAGACACCTTCGCCGACGATACCAAACAAAGTGGGCACGCTACGAGATTCGGTCTAGGTCGCAAATGCAAGCCGCAGCTGTGTACCAACACTCGCAATCGGCCATCCACAAGTTGGCCTGCGAGGCGTGCCAGAAGCCCAAGCTGCCTTTGACTGAACTGCTTCAGGCCACCCACGAGGACGACCTACTTTTGAAGGGCTCCGTTCCGCAACCTGCAGATTGGCTTTCTGCATGGCGGGCTGTGCGTTCTCCAATTTCCTTTTCCAAGGCAGAGGCACATTCGCAGACGGCCTTCTATGCTGCTGGTGCCTCCGAGCGCGGGATTGGAAGGCGTTGCCCGACCTCAAACAGCGGGCGGGCAAACCATGAAGCCAAACCATTCTTTTATACTTTTCTTTCACAACCTATCAGGTGAGCGCCTCTGGATTTACATCAGTGCTTCCTTCCCCTCCCCTGTTCCACCGTTCTCCATGTCCTCCATGTTCTCCATGTCCTTTGACCAAAAGGGCTTGGACTCTCTATTCTTGTGTAGGCTGCATGTGAGAAGATTGTCTTATGCCAGATTTGATGCTTGGACGACCGCCGCATCATGTGTCACAACACGTGTCCAAAAAGTTGCAAGAGTTGATGCCAGAACAAGCGTCAAAATACACATCAGATTTTTTGTCAGAACGCTTGTTACATTTTGATGTTAGCAAATATGCCAGACTTGATGCCAGAACAATGCTCAGAGCATTTGTTTATGGATGCCGCTAACGTATCAAGCAGTACGTGCCAGGGGGTGGGATCGCTTGAATTAATCGACGTTCCTTTGCCTAATTGTTTTGTCGAATGCGCAGCCTTATTTTTTGCGCTTATTTTAGAAATGCATAGAAATGACAGAACTTTGCTTCAGCCGAGGAATGTTTCGGGAGATGGTGGGCGTCATGCCCGAAGTCATTCGGGAAACCAAGCGGAAGCACATCTTGGAGGCTGACTCCATTAGCTTAGCTTTGGGTGACAAGGCGCCCTTCCGTGTCATCCGATACCGTTGCAGCAGCGTGGCTGGCCTTTCTTCCATGCCACTGCGCACGCATGAAGGTGTGCTGACTGTGCTACGACATGGGGGTGAGGCTTCGTCAATGACCTGTGAGGCCTTCGATGAAGACTATAGTGAAAGGATAGCGAACTCTGTCGACGCCATCGAGCGCTTGGCTACCTCCTTGGGGGGTTGTGAGCCGGACGAAGCAATCCAGGCCAAGTTCAAGGCGGCGCTGCGCTGCTACGCTTCTGACGGTGGGAAGCCTGTACGTAAATGTGGCCAGCTGCTTCAAGAGCGATTCCCACACTTGAAGCTGCTGATCCACGACAGGGCTCACATTATCCGACGGGCGGCCCTGCCTTTGACTTTGGAAGAGCGTTTCCCAAAGTTTTGGCACCATGTCTTTGATAAGCGGCACGCAGTCATACCCGACATCCAGAACAGCTCGGAATGGAAGTTGAAGCTGGAGATCATCCAACGGGAGCTGATCCATGATTCGCCCTTGCAGGGGCGCTTGCGCAAAGCCATTCGAACCATCGGTTTTGCCAAACAGCGCTTCGACAGCTATGCAAGTCCTCAAGCCAAGTATGTGGTCCTCCAAGTCCCCATTGCCATTCTGTTGGCCTCTCAGGCTGCAGACCCTAGAAAGGATGGGCGGGTATGGAGAAGGTGCTTGGAAGCCCTGCGCATGATGACAGCCGAGCACACCTTGCTGTCAGGGCTGGCGGCGGACTTCTCAGCTGAGGTCTTGCGATTTGTGCGAGAGCATGACATCCGCGATCACGACATCAGCACCACTTTTTATCAAAAGAGTGAGTTCATCCGCAGGCTTAAAGTGTTGTCGACAAGCTGTTACATAGCAACCTCGTCCTTTTGTTTTTTGCTGCTCTTCGGTGATTTCCTTGCCCACGATCTGCCACAAGTTGGGAAACTTTGAGGGTGTGATCTTTATTTTGTTTGTTTGGGTTTCGGGCGGTCTAGCGAATTGTCCTCGCTTTTGGCAAAGCCAAGGTTTGAGGAAGGATGGATCCTGCAGCCCGCGCAGAGTGCCGCCACCAGGACAGACGCTCAGACTTTCACCCAGATGGCCGTGACCGGTGCCATGGAGGCAGGCCCGATTCAGTTTGGGGATGAGATGGTCACCCTTTGGGGGCCCTTGGCTCGTGAGGAGTGCCGACAAGTTATGCAAAGGTGCAGAGATGTGGTCTCCAGCACCATTGCACGGGTGGACGCCGAGTTGCATGGCAATGACTTGGACATGGACTTGTTGTTTTGACTTGCGGCTGTGGCTCCGAGCCAAACGCAAAATGGACGTGACTGGCAAGACCGTTGAGTGGCATGGGTTTGAGACTCAGATGCGCAAGCGCATCCGCAGACTTTCCGGCGTGCTCAAAGTTGACCCAGCTTGTTGTGAGCAGGAATTCGTCCAGGTGGCCCTTTTCTTTCTCGAGGACAAGGATGGCATGACGCAGGTGAAACGGGAACAAGACAATCATCTTATGTGGGCGAGGGTGCTTGGCAAAGGAAAACCTGTGCCTTGTGCTGCTTCACTTGAGACTTTGCCAGCTTTGGTTTGTTGGTACCTGAGCATCTTGGACGGCGAGTGTGGCGTCGAGCGAGACCTTGCCTCTTTGCGGCTGTTGTTGCAGGAGCACGAGGGAAGTCTTGACGAGGATGGCCGCTGCGCGGCTGACCTTCTGGAGCTGCACCTTGATGGTCCCAAAACAGAAGCAGAAGTGGCCCTGCGAGCTTCAGTGGAAAGCCTTGAAGAGAGCAAGGCCACGCTTTTGCTGACAGACTTTTCACGCCGGCGCTGTGAAGTGTGGACTCGCTTGTATGGCAAAAGGTTTCGTTCCTATAAGAAAAGAGTGGATGCCGGTGTCAAGCGAAAGCCTGAAGCAGGAACCTTTCAATCCTTGCAAGTTCGACAGAAGATGGCAGTGGCCTTCTTGGATGGGCGTGGTTCCGCCACCAGTGCAACTGAAACTTCCACTCCAACTGTTCTTGGCTACACGCGAGAGAGCCTGCTGAAGGCTCCCCGAGGAGAGAAGCCCACCAACGTGAAATTGGCGAAGTTTCGTGCCCACACCAGCAGCAAGGTGGCCCAACAGTCTCTTTTGCTTGGATGTCACAAGAAAGTTCCCCGCCGAGTGGCGGATGTCTTCACGAATGTGTTTGCCAAAGCCAAGCCTCACGACGATAGCCTCAGGATCCGCCACACTTGGATGATCTATGATCACACCGGAAGGGTGGTGGACGCTTCTCGGAACTTGCCTGGCAAGTTGGTGCTTCCACGGACGGGGGCAGACGAAACCTCTTTTCAGACTGTGGCAAAGTGCGAAGTGATCCTTGTGGAAAGCCTGCAGGTGATGGAGCAGTGCCGCGGAGAGCCGCTTGTATGTTTGTTTTAGCGTTGTATGTTTTAGCATCTTCTGATTGCCTAATCAAGATCTGCCGGTGCATGTTTTCACAATTTTTTGGAGAGGCAAGAGCGACCCCCACTACATAATCCTATAGACGAATCTTGCGGTTTGATTAGCGATTGTATACTCTCAGGATGGACCTTCTTCAGTTGTACTTGCTGGTTGTTGCACTTGGCAAGGGCCTTTGTTCTCGCTCAGACTGGCTCACTTCATCTCGGTCGTCGAGGGTGCGGTGGTAGAAGCCTGCAGTGCTGCGCCCTGCCACTTTCCACTTCACCCCTTCGTTCCAGGAGGCCAGCAGGAAGACCGTTGCCATGTTCAGGTTCTTGGCAGATAGAAAGGGATCTGCGTGGCAACTTGGCTCGAAATGTGCCAAGGGGGTTCATGAGATAGGGAAGAAAGAAGACCTGATCGCCTTCTTGCAACAAGCTCGAAGGGTTGAGTTGGGCACGGCCGGTGGCCTTCGTGGGCAAGTCCAAGGGAAAAGGAGAGTTGTTTTGCGTGGTATATATATATATACAGGTATATGATATAGTATACATATTTATATTATATACATGATTTATTCCCCCTCAGTTTTGTTGACGCTGAGAAAGATGAACGATATAGAATGGTAGAGGTGATCGCAAAACTGCGGCGTGCGTGCGACAGGGAATCACCGGGAATCATCCGCATGAGGTACCCAATGTCTTACACTCCATGTTTCTTTCCTTATTTTTGCGGTGTCCCTTGCATTTTTCAAAGAAGGTCCACGGCTGAAATGCTTCATTTGTTCTTGAACCACATTGAGCCACTTTGCCAGGCAGCCGCTGTCGCACTGTGGCGGTGTGCCGAAAAAAAGAGATGGAACGTTTCCAGCGGCCGTTTGTTAGACAAATTGACAAATGGCTGAATCCATCAGCCAGTTGCTGCAGCTAGCATCTCTCCATGTTTTGACCGAGAAAGGGTTTCTGTAAATAATTTTGAGCCAGTCGAAAGGTCAAGTCAGCAAGTGTCCACTACCCAAGCCGCAGGGTGATGCGAACTTGAAGGCAGCACCCACCAAAGAACCCAACTCATCACCCTTGAAGACCGCAGCACTCAACCAACCACCAAACTTGAAGACGCAACCAATCCAATCCTGAGCTCATTGTCTTGCGGCGTTTGTTTTTCGAAGCATGCACCCTAGCTGTGACCAACATCAAGCAAAAGGCAGAACGTGATGACGCGGCAGAGCCAGTTCGGCTCGCTATCGCTGAGAGGAGCTCCCGGTTGGCCGACCAGAAGGCTCGTCTTGTAGGTGTGCACTTCAGCCCCGAGTGTGAACCATCACGCAAGTTGGTTGATACAGTGTGTCAAATGGGGGCTGACCAATCTTTGCAGTGGATCCCATGGGAGCAGCTTACCAGTAGGAGTGCCGAAATCACGCATTCCGAGAAAGATTGGAAGCTGAGTTTCGACTCAAACGGTTCTCTCAAGGTTGCCCAGAAATTCGTTTCGCCCGAAGCCGTTGTGACAGGCGATCTGAAGGTGAAGGCCGCTTTGAATAGGAGGTCACGTGCTTTTGACCTAGCAGCCTTATGCAAATACACGGTGATGGAACATGGCATGAGCGTGTTTTTGAGATTGTCAATAGGGACCCGCCACCAAATGCCATGCCACTTAGTTTGCAGCAGGTCCGTGAAGCCGATAAGGCATTATTCAGACGCCTCTCTGATTTGACCCGGGGAAATCTGACTCAGGCTGCGGATGGGACTCGGCCGGTGGAGGTGCATTTCGAGGCTTGCATGAACCACCCCGAGGTCCAGTTCTGTTTGATTCTGGTGGTCAAAACAAGCCATGCTTCGGCTAGCAGTAGTTCCGTGTCCAAACATCCAAAAGGAAAGGAAAAAGGCAAAAAGTCTCACGTGAAGCAGGACTTCTCGAAGAGCAAAGCGAGCTCTGACATGCAGTTGCCACCTGGATGCAGCCAGCACACCCCTGAGAACAAGCCTATTTGTAATTTGTACAATAGGGGAAAGTGCCAATATGCCAAGGATGGAAAGCGTTGCCGGCGGGGTTTTCATGTGTGCTACAAGTGTTTCAAGCCCCGTCCTTTCCACATTTGTGATCATTCTTGACAACCCACGCCCTCTGGCTACGAGCATGCGTCCATTTCGGATCCCAAGCCAGAGGAGACGCAGCATGCATCCATGTTAGGTCCGCAGCAACAGCCAAAGCGCCAGAGGCATTTTGCTTCAACCAATCCGAATTCGTATAAGCACATCTTAGGAACTCATGTCGAGAACCGTGCCATTTTTGCTGAAGTTTTTGCTGGTTGTGCTCGGTTAAGCCGATTCGCGCAGCAAGCCGGTTTTGTCGCTTTGCCTGTAGACGGTCCTCGGAATGTCCACAAACCTGAGTGCGCCGTTCTTTCTTTAGACCTTTGTGAATCCGATCCACAACAATGCCTGTTGTCGATTTTTCAAGATTTGCAGCCAGCAGCCATCCACTTGGCCCTGCCATGTGGAACTGGAACAAGAGCCAGGGAGAGACCCTTGCCATCGTACTTGCTAAAGCAGAAGGCGCCGAATCCGCGTCCTTTGCGGAGTCAGGAGCACCCACTTGGAGTGCCGCATTTGTCCAAAACCGAGTTGCAAAAAGTAACTAGCGCCAATCGGCTCGCACTGTTTACAGTCCATGTCTTGTTGCAAGCCATGCACACCAATACTGTTGTAACTATCGAGAATCCCTCACGTAGTTGGATGTGGAATGTTTTGGAACACTACGTACACTCCTTGCAGAATCCGGAACTCACAAACTTTTGGGACAGCATGGTCAGCGTCCAGTTTAGCAATTGTGCTCATGGTGGTGAACGGCCCAAAAACACGACCCTTCGATCCACCAGTGACATTTTCCTGCCCTTGGCCCTGCCTTGCCCAGGAAAACATGCGCATAAACCATACACGCTGAAACGTGATGCTGCAAACTGGACTTTTGCCACGGCGGAGGAAAGCGAGTACCCCTCACTCCTCTGCTATCGATTTGTCACCCTTTTGCGCGCCCATTTGGCCCGGAGTGCATTCCGTTTTACGCCTGTGTCCAAAACCCTGAGTGGCCATACACAGACCAAGAAACATCCCACCTTGGTCCCTGAATATCATCGTATTGCCCACTCTCGCCCAGCCACAGGTGCATTTCGAGTGCTTCCTCCACTTCGAGACGGGGGAGTTTCCGGGGAGGAAGTTGGTGAAGTTGGTGAGGCCGGTGCAAACCCTGGTGAGTCAGAAGCTTTTGGGGTTTACCATACCCCTGAGCAATTCATTTTGAAGGCTTTGCAGTGGAACATCCTTATGATGCCCGTTTTGCGGTCGAAGACGTGACCAGAAGGAACTTGTTTGAACTCTTGACGCTAGGCCAGTCCTTTGTAGCACAAGGGAGGCTGGAGTTCGCCAGGAAACTTGCCAAGATGTCCAAAGAGTTGGCAGCCGAAGAAGCTCGCTTCCATGCTTCATTACCCCCTCTCATGCCCAAGTCGTCTTGAAGGGTAAAAGAATTCTCCTATTCAAGCGTCTCTTGAAGGAGTTTGGATGCCCCGACCTAGAGGCCGCCGACTTGATGCTTGGTACTGACCTTGTGGGAGTCCCTTCGAAGTCTCCTTTCTTCGACTGGAAGTTGGTTCCAGGAACAACCACCCCTCATTTTGCCCTGTTGTCTGATCGTTGGCACAGGAAGAAGCTTGAGGCTTTCAACATTCACCAGGACGACCCAGAGCTTGCTCGTGTCCTTTGGGAAACCGCCCTCCAAGAGGTTGAGGCGGAGTACTCCCTGTCCTTACCATGACTTGGCTGAAGTCAAGCGTTTGCTTGGTGTCCAAGACGTGGTGTGTAGCCGA